AGCCGAGGAATGTGGTTGCAATTTCAGGGTGGAAGAGTTACGGAGGCGGCGGCGAGCGAGCTACGACCACGTGGGAATTCAACGTTGTTTCCACGACCGGGAAAAACCCAACCTTCAGGCGATGCCGGCCAAGAAGGAGAAGATTTCCAGCTCTGAAGTGAGTAAGAACCACCGCGCCGTGAGGTCAGCCAACGCCGCGCCGCCCGTGCGAATTCAGGAACGAGGGATCGGCGGCGGGCGGGAAATTATGCCCACTGAAAATGGGTATCCAGGGCTTCGAGCCAGCAGCAAAAACCCCGGGCAGAAGCAGCCAGCTCCCATCTATACCAGCACAACTCTATTTTCTTGCTCAGAAGAGCCCAACCTTCTTCTCAGCACTTCATCACGGCAATGTTCCGCGCTATCTCCAGGCTGGCCATGGAGATATGCTCCCAGGCACCATTCAGCTCTAGCAGGTACAGCTCCAGCAGCAAATCCCTCCACGGAGAGGCGGTTTACGGCTCTTCCCAGCTTAATAAAACCTCGCCTTAAAGCCTAAAATGAAGCTCTGTTTGATAAATAGGTTTTTGTGTCTTGCTTCGCACGCCACGCTCCTTCAGCAGCCATCTGCAACCCAACCCAGAAGCAACGGGCAACTGGAGATAAACTGGGATGGACCCACGGCAAGCACAAGGAAAATCATAGAAACGTAGAATCATAGGTTGGAAAAGACCTCTGAGGTCATTGAGTCCAACATCAACCCCAACACCCCCACGCCTTTGGGACTGGAACTGGTTTTGTGGCTGTTCAACGGGTGGGAGTGGAGGCCAGGAGCGTGGGGTGGGACCCGAACCTGAAGACTGACAAGGGCACCCCATACACAGCAAAGAGAAGCACAGAATCAGAGAGTCATGAAGGTTGGAGAAGACCTCTAAGGTCACAGAATCATAGAGTCATTCAGGCTGGAGAAGACCACTAAGGTCATCAAGTCCAACCGTCACCCCAACACTCCCACGCCTGCTAAACCACGTCCCCAAGTGCCACATCCAGATGGTGTTTGAACCCCTCCAGGGATGGGGACTCCCCCACCTCCCTGGGCAGCCTGGTCCAGTGCCTGACCACTCTTTCAGTGAAGACATTTTTCCTGATATCCAATCTGAACCTCCCCTGATGCAACTTGAGAAGGAACAGCCCCAGCTCCCTCAGCCGCTCCTCAGCAGAACCACAGGGGGTGCTGGCAGCGGGACGCGCGACGCCGACCCAGGGACAAAAATCATTGAAAAGTTTTTTCTGGCTTCCCATGCCGAAGTCACGGCTCCGTGGCCGAGCGGCGTACGCCAGGACTTAGCTCATCTTCTAATCAAGACCCG